GCACTTATTTCGTCGTTTTCTGTAATAGCTCACATGTGCAGACACTTAATACACATAATCGCATCACTTTGATAAAAATCCACTTCAAACGATTATTTAAACGATAAAACAGGAGCAACCATCCGTCAATGGTCAAGCTCCTGCCAAAACTCACAGTAAGTAAAGTAGTACTAAGTTTCATAAATTATAGTGATTTTAATATCACAGAGATATACTATACAACATTACATTTCTTTTTAAGATAATAAGCAAATAAATGAACTGGGGAAAAATGAAAAACATAATATAGTGTAAATAAAGTATAGTAGATTGGGTCCATCAAGAATTAGGATTTAAGTTTACGATGGTGTTGTAGATTAAAATGATTTACGTGAAAAAATAAAAAATTAAATTATTTTAAAAAATATATCGACTGTCGTATATCTATATTTTAATATCAAACTTATATTTCAATATATGTCGTCAAAATTATTAGAAATAAATATCGGTATTTCTAAATAATAAAATAGATTTTTCGATATATCGATATTTTATCAACAGTCCTAGTTCAAACGTGGGGCGTGGCCGTGGGCGTTTGGTTTGCGTGACTCCTATAAAATATCACTTTATAGGAGACTTATTTAACAGCATTTCCTGACTATTAATATCATCATCATCATCATCATTACAGCCCTTCACAAGTCCACTGCTGAACATAGGCCTCCCCCAAAGAATGCCACAAAACACGGTCCTGAGCCACCTGCATCCATCGACTTCCTGCATGTCTTACCAGGTCGTCACTCCATCTTGTGGGGGGACGCCCTACACTTCGCCTACCGGTACGAGGCTGCCACTCGAGAACCTTTCTTCCCCATCGGTTGTCGGTTCTTCGAGCTATATGGCCGGCCCACTGCCACTTCAGCTTACTAATCCGTTGGGCTATGTCGGTCACTCTGGTTCTACTGCGGATATCCTCATTCCTAAGTTTATCACGCAGAGAAACTCCGAGCATAGCCCTCTCCATAGCTCGCTGAGCGACCTTGAGCTTCCTCATACGGCCAGCAGTGAAGGACCACGTCTCAGTTCCGTAAGTCATCACTGGCAACACGCACTGGTTGTACAATTTCGTTTTAAGGTTTTGAGGTATGTCTGACGAGAAGATGTGTCGTAGCTTCCCGAACGCTGCCCAGCCGAGTTGAATCCGTCGATTGACCTCTCGGTCGAAGTTGGACTTACCCAGTCGGACTATTTGTCCCAGGTAAACATACTCGTCAACAACTTCGAGCTTAGTGCTCCCAACAACTACCGGCATAGGTGTGACATGGACATTAAACATGATCTTTGTTTTGTCCATGTTCATCTTAAGACCTATCCGTTGGGAAACACTATTGAGGTCATTGAGCATAGTGCTTAGGTCCTCCAGCGATTCTGCCATAAGGACTATATCGTCGGCAAATAATATATATCTATACAAATAAATAAAATTGAAATGTCTATATGTAATGTCAAAATAATAGTTTTTTACTAAATGCATATGAAAGTACATACAGTACTTATAACAAAAACACAATTTTTAAAATCTTTGTCTATCTTTCTGTCTGTCTGTCTGTCTGTTTGTTCCGGCTAATCTCCGAATCGGCTGAACCGATTTTGACGAGACTTTCAGTGGCAGATAAGGGATATTATATGGAGGAACTTAGGCTAATTTTAATTTAGAAAAAGAATTAGGGTTCGATGCAAAAAAATTAAAACCCATGAAATCCAATCGTAATAAATTACACGCGGGCAAAGTCGCGGGGAACAGCTAGTTAATAGATAGGAAATGATATTTTTAATTTATAGGAGTCACGCCAACTAAACGCGCACGGCTGCGACTTCATCGATCGAGAAATGAAATCCGTTCCGTATATAGGTATATAAATAACGTTTCCTCTATATTAACACTTCAAAAGATATTTTTATTCATGATAAGGTCAGTATTAAGACACTTTTAAGAAATGGGTCAGATATTATGATAATTTTACTCATTATGGTAAATTTTATTTATTTAATAAACGTGTTATTTATTTTTATCTGTTTATTAAATTACCTATCTGTAGAACACCCCACTTATACTAATTTGCACTCCTGTTATGGTGAACCCAAAAAATCCGTGGGCATGGGCACATTCTGAAGGTCTTATGATGACCAGATAATGCTTATCGGTTTTTAGTAATGGAAATAGTTAGGATGGCCTAGTTTTCTGCCACTGAGATCCTATATCCACCTTCGGATTGCACCATCAGAAAGGTGAGATCATAACAGTCACCTAAGTCTTTATGAGCCCTTTCAAATGAGTTCAAACACGACCTTTCTATCTAGTGCCACCACTGAGATCCTATATCCACCTTCGGATTGCACCATCAGAAAGGTAAGGTCACAGCAGTCACCTAGGTCTTTATGAGCCCTTTCAAATGAGCTCAAACACGATCGTTCTATCTAGTGCCGCCACTGAGATCCTATATCCACCTTCGGATTACACCATCAGAAAGGTGAGGTCATAACAGTCACGTAGGTCTTTATGAACCCTTTCAAATGAGTTCAAACACGACCGTTCTATCCAGTGCCGCCACTGAGATCCTATATCCACCTTCGGATTACACCATCAGAAAGGTGAGGTCACAGCAGTCATCTAGGTCTTTATGAGCCCTTTCAAATGAGCTCAAACACGACCGTTCTATCTAGTGCCGCCACTGAGATCCTATATCCACCTTCGGATTGCACCATCAAAAAGGTGAGGTCATAACAGTCACCTAGGTCTTTTTGAACCCATTCAAATGAGTTCAAACGCGGTCTTTCTATCTAGTGTCGTCACTGAGATCCTATACCCACCTTCGGATTGCACCAACATAAAGGTGATATCATCCCAGTCATCTAGGTCTCCATTTACCTATTTGAAAATGAGTCCAAACACGATGGTTCTACGTAGTAGCATCACTGAGAACCCACCTTCTGAGTCCACCATAAGGAAGGTGACATCATTACCATCACCTTGGTCTCCATCCTCTGTCAAACCAACTTCTCTAAATATATATGACGGCTCCGTGGCGCAGTGGCTTAGCAATGAATTGCGGCGCGGGTTCGAATCCCCCACGGAACAAGTACTTGTATGACCTACAAATGATTGTTCCGGGTCTGGATGTTTGTCCTTGTGCAATTTGTGTTTGTAAACTGCCTCCGCGATACAGGAGAAAATCCTAGTGTGGGGGTAACGTTTTTTTTAATAAAAAATATATATAAAATAATAAAAATAAAATCTTAAAATATAAATATAAAATAAAATCTAAAAACATGTTATAAAAAATTATAAAATATATATAAAAGCTACTAAGAAAAGTATGTACTTACCAATAATGGAAACGAACTGAAGCCAGCGGATTACGGTGCGCCCGGAAAAATACGTGGGTTGCCGTCAGTTAAAAATTGTAACTTAAGATTTCACATTCACGATCAGTTTTTGGATGTACGTCAGTTCAACCGAGCAGTTTAACTGATAGCACGCCCGAATATGGCCTTATGGCAGAATCGCTGGAGGACCTAAGCACTATGCTCAATGACCTCAATAGTGTTTCCCAACGGATAGGTCTTAAGATGAACATGGACAAAGCAAAGATCATGTTTAATGTCCATGTCACACCTATGCCGGTAGTTGTTGGAAGCACTAAGCTCGAAGTTGTTGACGAGTATGTTTACCTGGGACAAATAGTCCGACTAGGTAAGTCCAACTTCGACCGAGAGGTTAATCGACGGATTCAACTCGGCTGGGCAGCGTTCGGGAAGCTACGACACATCTTCTCGTCAGACATACCTCAAAACCTGAAAACGAAATTGTACAACCAGTGCGTGTTGCCAGTGATGACTTACGGAACTGAGACGTGGTCCTTCACTGCTGGCCGTATGAGGAAGCTCAAGGTCGCTCAGCGAGCTATGGAGAGGGCTATGCTCGGAGTTTCTCTGCGTGATAAACTTAGGAATGAGGATATCCGCAGTAGAACCAGAGTGACCGACATAGCCCAACGGATTAGTAAGCTGAAGTGGCAGTGGGCCGGCCATATAGCTCGAAGAACCGACAACCGATGGGGAAGAAAGGTTCTCGAGTGGCAGCCTCGTACCGGTAGGCGAAGTGTAGGGCGTCCCCCCACGAGATGGAGTGACGACCTGGTAAGATATGCAGGAAGTCGATGGATGCAGGTGGCTCAGGACCGTGCTTTGTGGCATTCTTTGGGGGAGGCCTATGTTCAGCAGTGGACTTGTGAAGGGCTGTAATGATGATGATGATGATGACGCCCGAATAAAATCCGTGTGCTGCCTTCAGTTAAAAATTTCAACTTAAGATTTCACATTCACGGTCAGTTTTTGGATGTACGTCAGTTAAACTGTTCAGTTTAACTGACCGTTAGTGGGGACCATACACTTGCCTTGCTTGACCAGTTAATATTGTACTGTACTCTTATGATATTGTAACTTTTAGTAATGAGTAATAATTTTAGTATTAGAATTAACTTGAATGAATGTAATATTACCCTATGATCCTTGCTGGTCGACATAAATAAATAAATAAATAAAAATAAATAAATTTAAGCTTTACCACAGGTTCGGAAAGACCTCTGTCCTGGGATTGACAAGCAATAAACCAAGCAGGATTTTAAAAAAAATACAATATTATTAAACACTTAGAAACAGTATGGTAGCGAACACTTCACTCACAGCGGTTATTATCAATCATGCACTCGTTAGTAGTACAATAATCCATACTAAAAACTTTTGTTTAATATAATTTTAAACGTTTTGATAGATAAGGCCTACATATATTCTGGGACTTTGTTGTAAAAGCGTACACATTGAGGAATTACTGACTCTTTGGAGTGAAGTAACTGGTATAACCATATATACATATCACTTCAATAGGTTCACGTGAGAATTAAGCCCACAATCTCTAGCGTAATATTACATTTTTAACAATTTATCCTTACTCTTTCCAGGTACGGAGACATGGTGCCGGGCACGATCGCCGGGAAGATTGTTGGTGGCGTGTGCTCATTGTCAGGAGTACTGGTCATAGCGCTGCCTGTACCCGTCATCGTGTCCAACTTCTCGCGTATCTACCACCAAAATCAACGAGCCGACAAAAGGAAGGCGCAGAGGGTATGGGAATTTTATACTATTCAACGATTAACTAAGTTTCTTATTATATAAGACATATTGGATCACGGTGTCATATTCTATAGAAAGTGGAATAACCGGCTAAGTGCGAGTTGGACTCGCGCGTGAAGGGTTCCGTACCATCGTAAAACACGTTTCTAGTAGGGAAGCCTCCTTAATTTTTTTTTATAGAATAAGAGTGACAAACGAGCACACAGTCCACCCAATGGTAAGTCGTTCGCGAATTAAAATTCAGATGCGTTATCACCGTGAGGACTAAGATGGAATGCCTCTTTTCCAGTAAAAAGGATCTCCGGTTCTCTACACTCACCATACGAAACACAGCTGCATTAAGCTGCTATTTTACGCTGGTATTTTGTGAGAGCGTGGTCCCCCGGTCGAGCCGACCAATTCATGCTACAACTTTACTATTAATATAGCTGCAGCATGGCTCTACCGCGTATAAAGTCTTTTTTGTTTGATTTGTTGTTATAGCAGCAACGGAAATACACATTCTGTAAAAATTTCAACTGTCTACGTATTACGAATCATAAGATACAGCCCTGTACAGGAGGCTTAGTAATAAGGTACCGTTGGTTACCCTTCGGGTATACGGAACCCTAAAAATGATTTTTTTTACTTATTATAAGTGCAGTCCAGTGCTTGACCACAATCCCACCTGGTGGTAATGGGTGATGTAGTGGTGTACAGCTTATTCTCTGTTGCCTTGAAGACGCCCAGATTAGATCCAAACGGAAACACAGCGACGGCAAATTACTTCAGTCCTTTGCTGTACGCATTACAAGAAAACAAAGCAAACCGTTTAATTCTAATGCGTGGAATATCGACAATAGTGGCGTGACCACCCGCTGACCTAGTTGTCAGATGGTGGAGAGGAGAGGTAGAAATTACAGCATGTAATTCCTGCGCATACTCACCGAAATGCATCCTATAGAATACCAAGACGCTGGCTTCTCTGAGCTTGTGTTCGAGGCTGACAAGATTAGTTTTAACCAAATCAAGATTAATTAAGCCTCTTAGCACGTCTCTCCACTGAGCCCAATACTGCTGGTGGCATTATCCAGCATCAGCTCATATGTGACAGCAGTACTATATACACGTTGTATATAAGGTAAGAAGCTGCTCCGGCGTGAAGTACCATCACACACTTCCAAGGACACCTAGTTTCCTCGCGGCAGCTTTAGCCCTGGACTTATTGAAACGTTAGTTGAGTTTTGGTGAAATCTCAACCCCTAATAATTATAGGCGGTCGGTGTACTCCAAAGATACATCCCGGAGAGAAGGAGCCTGGATGAGTGGGCTCCTTTTAGCGGTGAAAAGACACAAGCGTGTCTTTGGAAATTATGGAAATTTTGATTGAAAAGATACGCTTGTTTTCTAGCTTTTCATAAATTTATTTATAGCATTCACATCTTAACGCATTACGTGGTACATGTTACGAGTTACATATTACGAGGTTACTCGTAGGGTAATCTCTATATATAAAAATAAATTGCTGTCCGTTAGTCTCGCTTAAACTCAAAAACGGCTCTACTGATTTTGATGAATTTTTGTGTATGTTTGAATGAGGCTCTAGATGATTTAGGTTCACATTTGGATCCGGTAGGTGGCACTGTTGTCGAGATCCAGAAATCATCCGTGTGAAGCCGGGGCGGATCGCTAGTGTTTTATAAAATTATTTGACTTAAATCGCCAATCTTATACTAAATTGATATTTTCTGATAAACAAACTTATCTCCTTATAATAATAAAATCAGAAATAAGATGAATCGGAGATCAAAATTAAAATAAGAAACTGAAAAAGTTTGTTACCCCTGGATATTGCTCAAAGACTGTTATCTCGTTTTCGCGTGCCCTAATAACAGATTTTGTCAACTACGTTAAATACTAATAATATTATTCACGAACATTACTATGATGTCTCACAGTGCGCTCAAACGCTTAAGGTACAAAATCATAAAAATATCTTGAGGGGTAAACAAAACTATTTGTACGTGGTAGAGCCACGCTGCAGCTATATTACGGTTGTAATAGAATCAGAATCACAAATATTTATTGACCATAATATAACAATCGTTACGGGCAAGTCATTGGTTACAGGAGTTCTTAAATTTATAAAGTTAAATTACATTATTTAATTACATTATTGTACTTTAATTTAGTTACATTGACGCTTTACATCAGACATTTTGTTTTGTTACATAATAGGTAAATTATTTTGTTTGCATGTTACACAAGAATGATGATTCCAAGAGCTGCATTGACATGTATTCGCTTGATTTATAAAATGGGTTACTTTAAAAAAAAAATACTAAGTTTCCGTTTAAATTTGCTATAGTTTAGGCTGGTTTAACTTTTTGGTAATTTATTATACATCAATATTTTTGAGTAACGCCCTTGTTTTTTTTTTACTTTGATTAATCTATTCATTGGTAGGACCCATTTTTCATTATTACGCAGATTGTATTGATTTACGTCTTTTTTTTTCGGTATTTCTTTATCCTCGTGTACCTCTAATAAACTAAATTATATATATAAAACGAAATTATTTTGTCGTTCTTATTGAAATACGAGTATCGTGATTATTTTTTGTTATAGACTGCTTTTGACATTTCAAAATTTTTATAATATCAATAGTAAGGTATGTCATTACTATTTGGGGAAATGCTACATTTCCCCAAATAGTAATGACATACCTTACTATAGAATTAATATAGGCATAGTACACAGATATGTGTGTCTTTTTATCTAATAATATAATAATAATAGCTTGAGTTTGAATAATGCATAATTACCGCAATCTATTTTCTTACATTTTTTTTCAATATGGGCTTTGTGGTTGATCTACTGTACGAGTATACCCTAAAAATAAATTTTCTTTTGTAGTCGAGTTAACATAAATGCCTAGCCTCGATTAATAATGCATTACCATGCTTTTATCAGAATTTAGAATAATACCATTTACGCTAAACCATTCTTTTTTAGCAAACATTTTTTTTTCTTTTATTAATTAAATTTTTTAAATTTGATAGATTTTTGTCTCTTAAACCAAAAAAAAACCAACATGTGCATCATCTGCAAATAAATTTAAATATGTATAGTCTGACATTGCATTACCAAGACCATTAATATAGATCAACAAAACAGGACTTAAGATAAAACCTTGTGGTACTCCGATCGACACAGACCTCGCTGAAAAAGTTTGGTCATTTACTGAAACCTTGGCTACGGTTATTTAAACAAGTTTTCATCATATTTAGTTCAGTTCCTTAAAAACCATAATACTGCAATTTTAATATCAATACCGTAAGTAATCAAAAGCCTTTGATACGTCACAAAAATACTGGCACATCTATTCGAGCTGTCTAAAGATTCTAGAATGAAATAAATTACTTTTCTTACGGCCATTTCGGTAGATCGTCTTCTTCTAAATCCAAACTTTGCTATTATAAATAAATGACTTTCTTCAAAATACCTTATAATTCTAGATTTTATAATGGTATCTAATATATTTGATAAAGTCGGCAATATACAAACTGGCCTGTAATTACTGAGCTCTGTGGAATTCCCTTTCTTGAAAAGTGGAATAACCCTACCCGGTTTGAGTACGTTGGGCGTTGGGCAATATGACATTAGCTAAGCACGATTTGACAAAAATAAAATCAATTCGAATAAATTATTGTTCTTTCTAATAAGATTTCTTTATCTCCTAGTGCTCATATCGCAAATGTCTAATGTAGAGTTTTGCTTCATGCTAGTAACAATCTTTTTTAGCTCTGTATAGTCTAATGGGTAAAAAAAATAGGTGTTAGTGGCCTATTAGAGTAATCTAATGCAATGCAATTTTCTGCGTCAACTTCTAAATTACTTGTTAATCTATGTGCAATATTGCAGAAAAAATCATTAAAACTTCTTGCAATTTTTTGAGATTCTGTAATAATTTGCCCACTATCGTTTTTTTTTTCGATTCAATTCTAGATTTTGTATTTTGCCGTTTATTTTGCCCTATCTGCTCATTTATAATATTCCACGATTCTTGAATTTTATTTTTTGCCTCCTTAATACGGTATTAGACTAGCTCTACCACGGAAAGAAATATATCATGAAGTTATAGTAATGCGGTTACAAAGTGACTCTACCACGTAAAAAACATATCTTATAATAAAGAAATCCTAACACCATTCCAGAAAGCGCGACTTGCTCGAATCCTAATCGGTATTAACGTAGCTCTACCAAGTAAAGTAACGTATCATAAAGTTATAGTGATGCTATTCTAAAGTGATTCTACCACGTAAAAAGACGTATGTTAAGTTGAAAAAATTCTAACACAATTCCAGAAAAGGCGTCCTGCTTGAATCCTAATGCGTTTACAAAGTGACTACTATTTAAAGAAACGTATCATAAAATTATAGTAATGCGGTCACAAAGTGACTCTACGACGTAAAAAAATGTATCTTATAATAAGGAAATCCTAACACAATTCCAGAAAGCGCGTCTCGCTCGAATTCGCATCGCAAAGGCATCTTCTGGAGCTGCCTTCGTATCGAAGAAGAAGGCTGCTGAAGCACGGCTCGCCGCTCAAGAGTCGGGAGTGGAGTTGGACGACGCTGGTCGTGATGAAGACATTTTCGAATTGCAGCATCATCATCTTCTACGGTGTTTGGAGCGTACAACTGTGAGTAAATTTGTATTCTATTGTTGTTAAGTAACATTTCATTTGTCCTCTACAACCTTCATACATAATTTCTACAGCTGGGTACAGGTGTGATATCATCATAATCATCATTACAGCCCTTCACAAGTCCACTGCTCAACATAGGCCTCCACCAAGGAACAACACAAAGCACAGTCCTGAGACACCAGCATTCATCGACTTCCTGCATACCAGGTCGTTACTCTATCTAGCGGGTCTGCCTCACACCTAGCTTACCGGTACGAGGTTGCCACTCGAGTACCTTTCTTCCCCATCGGTTGCCGGTTCTTCGAGCTGTTTGGCTGGCCTATTGCCACTTCAACTTACTAATCTGTAGGGCTATGTCAATCTACGGCGTTTGCTAGGCAAGCCAAAATTATTGCGGCAAGCGTTGTTTTTCTTCACCGCTTTCACTAGAAGTGTTGCAGATAGACCTTCGCAATATTGGAATTACATTAATGGTTCTTTTTTATAGAATAAGGGTTGATAAACGAGCATATAGTCCACCTGATGTTAAGTGAATGCTGTAGCTCATAAACAACTATATCTATCGTTGATTAAGAACTAGAATGTAGATCCATATTCACTCCTGAGCCCTGAGTATACTAAGATACAATTGATAGAATGAAATGAAGTACTGTGGTTGCGTGTTCAGACCACGTCGAGGTCACCAGTTTGGCCGTGGAAGCAAAAAGGCAGATCTTCGTAAGCGGCCAATACTCCATGTGTTATTTCGGAGCTGTTCTATATATAGCGTGTTACCTTCAGAACTTTGATAGCGCGATTTAGGATTCGGTGCGTTTCGCTTACGGCGCGATGACAGTGCCGCTACATTACCAAGATTAATTACCAGTAGAAAGCGTATCCAGTTCCTACACTCTCCAAATGCATAACAGCATTGAGCTGCTATTTTACGTTGGTATTCTGTTCATTAGTCCTCTGTTGTAAAAACCTGCGCACAAGAAAGTTCCAGACAGACTTATTGTATGTTGTCGGACTAAAATATTCTAGAATGTTGTTGTATGCCACTTTCATGAAGGGTGCTGTAGACATGTCTTATCAATATTCGTATTCTCAATATTAGTATTTTCTGCCGACTTCCAAAAAGGAGACGGTACTCAATTCGACGCGTATGTTTTTTTTTGTGTTACCTCATAACTTTTTACTGGGTGGACCGATTTCGATGATTCTTTTTTTATATGAAAGCTGATACTTCTCGTGTGGTCTCATATGAATTTGATCATGGTCAGACCAATAGTTTTTGAGTTATTTGAGTTATTCTTAATAACTTATATTGAAGTCGGCTGTATAAAATTTTTAATTTAAAATTATATTCGACCGTGTAGTGGCTGTTTAAGAATATCCTCTTAAAATACATAAGAATATCCCTACTCGTATATCGTATCGTAGGTATTGTAAAAGACGACAGAGGGAAACAAATCAGGAGATGGGTAGAAGCCTCTTCCTAATAACAACTCAAAACAGTAGTAAAATTTAAAAAAATGTACAACCGATTTCAATATAAATAAAATGAGAACGTCATCAATGCAGCGAAATCGATTAAATACGCATTATGAAGGCTAACTCAAAAGGTCAGATCTTGATCAAGCCACATGAGAAGCACCAGCTTTCAAATTGAAAAAAAAATCATTAAAAAAAATACAATCGAATTGAGAACCTCCCCGTTAATTGAAGTTGTTTATAAAATGCGGTTGCTAACCTATGTGCTAAGCGTGGCGACTATGGGAAATATCGCCCCTAAGAGGCAATTTATGAGGAGGCCTATGCAGCGAACAAAAAAAAACATATTGACAATTATAACACCAAACGTAACGTACCCGTAACGCTATTCCCCATCTCTGGTTTTGAGTAGGGATGGACAAGTGAAAAACTATATCGTATCGATATTTTTAAACGTTATCGATAATTATCGCCTGATAAATATCGATATATCGTCATGTTTTGCACGATGTAGTGTTCTTACATGACATATGGACGACGAACAACAGTAAATGAATGTCTGATAAATTACATAGTCTATATACTATATCATTTTAAAATATATCGAATTAGATACTCTAAAATAAATATCAAATATCGATATATCGCGATTAAAAATATCGACGATAAATTCGATATTTTTTCCCAAGCATAGTCTGGATTTTACGTCTGGCATAAACGAGAAGATTTTATGACCGAGGGCAAATTTTCATTTTGCAGTTTTATCGACTTGTATTTATATGATTTAATACATTTTGAATATTTTAAACAGAATTTTAATAAATTTAGAGATTTTTAGAGACAATTTATGCGTTAACTATACTATAATATTTAATATTCCAAATGAACATATTTGAACTTTATACTTAATATTGCTTTTTAATTGTTTAAAATATAATTTCCATGACATTTTTAAAAGTCTTTATAATGAGTTTAATTATTATTTATTAATAATAATTATGAAGCGTCACAATAAGTACAAACATCCAGACCCTAAACAATTATTTGTAGGTCTTATGTACTTATGTACGCACGTAGGAAGTTAAATTACGTTTTATTTTTAAAGGAACATGATGTATTTTATTACAAGTCAGTGACTAGTGATACCAGTCTCTCGACTCCACAGAGTCAGTAATTCATTCTTGGGGCAATGTATACGCTATTACAACAAAGTCCCAGAAAATATACAAGGTCTCTCTATTACCAAGTTTAAATATTTAAATAAACAAAAACTGTATTTAGAGGGTTATCATAATATAAATGAATACATGCATGATAATAACCCTTGGGAATAAGGTGGTCGCTTCCAAGCTATTTTCTTAAATAACTTTTGTAAGTAGTTTGTATAACTGTGTTTCATTGTATAATTTTACTTTGAAAAACAAGTCCCGCGGGGTTTCTTGCTGGTTATTCCCAGGACAGAAGATTTTTCCCAACCAGTGTTAAAATTAAAGAAAAAATGCCTCATTAATTTCTATATATAAAAATCAATTGCTGTGCGTTAGTCTCGCTAAAACTCCAAACGGTTCGACTGATTTTGATGATTTTTTGTGTGTGCTGGAATCGGTCCTTAGATAGTTTAAATTCACATTTGGATTCGGTAGGTGACGGTGAAGTTGAGATCCAGAAATCACTCGTGCGAAGCCGGAGCGGATCACTAGTATTCAATAAAAAATATTCTATTCTATTCTTTGCCAGGATCGAGAATTCATCGAAATGGAGAACCCGTTCAATGGTGCTGCCAAGCGTCCAGGCTCACCGTCCCCTATGGCATCCCCCGCGCACTCAGGCCGCGCCCCGGCGTTACTCGCCTGCTGCGCACGCTGTGGCTGCTGCCCGCAGAAGTATCAGGTAACTAGAAACAGTTAACAGCTTTTGTCGTAGAAAGTTGCCTAAATACTAACGTTAAATGCCGAAATATATATTATAATAAGACGTAACTTTGAATAATTTTGTTTTATTTTATTCTTAAACAGACACAACACATTAGAAAACACCAACGCACTAATAAACTATTTTAAAATTAAACTTGTAATAAAATATTAACAATATTTTAACTGCAATGCTTTCAGCAGAATATAGTTAAACATATAGCTGTAAATAAAACGAAATGATAAATGATATAATATTACTAATAAATGTAATAAGTAGTTAACTATAAAGTAATTAACATATTTTTTTAAATAAACCTTAAGCACCTATAGTGTAACCACAATTAAAATTGAACGAGTGACCACATTGATTGGCCTTTATTACGTATCGTGAGACAAGTTAGATGTGTTTCGTTTTTGGGTCTGGATGTGGATGACATTTCCCGTATCTCTAACGGGGACGTAGCCAATTTAACATGTTCTTAACATAATTGACTATAATTAATGATCTAAAATTTGTTATTAATTAATTAATATTATTTATTTAAGTCATAAACGTTAGGCTAAGTTAACGAAATCGGTTTTAAAATATGAAAGAAAAATAATTTATAAAGCGTTAAAAAGCATTAAAGTTTTTTGAAATATTATAATATACATATTCCAATGTTAATAATGACGTAAACAAATAATTAATAATATTGTATAAAACGATGTTTTCACAACAGAAACGTCGTCGTTCCGTAAGGTGCATCAGTCCGATCGGGCTCGCCACGTGCCCGCGTCGTGAGGTATAAATATGACACAACACTGAGTCGTTGTCACCAATTACGTAAAGATTGTTTCTATGGCCATTGCTAATTACACACAAAAGATCTTACCATTCCGTTATTTTACATTGTATCTATAAGTTCCATTAGGTTCAGAAAATTGATTTTATTTATAATGTGAAATAGGCCATAGAAATCGATCTCCATCAGCATACGTAATCCCTGTTGTCGCTTCGCAAGTGTGGTTACAACGTCTTGCTAGAATCCGCTAATTGTCCCTTTCGTGCTTAAGGCGAAAACCTCTACGGGAACAACGCTTTCGCCTGATGTAAGCACATGTTTTATGACCTGTATTCGGTGCTAAATAATTCACATAAGCACACGAAAGAATATGTTTGAGGGCACTTATTGATTTGCTATTGCTGTTACAGCCCTATTATATATGTAATTACACCCTGACGACCATATTATTGAATGATTAGGGAGTTTTGGCGGGAAATTGACCGGCGGCGGTTTGCTGCTCCTGTATTATTGTTTAAATAATGGTTTGAAGTGGACTTTGATATGTAAAAGTGGTGCGATTTTGTGTATTAAGTGTCTACACATGTGAACTATTAGTGGAAACAGTGAAACAAGTGCTCTGATGGTGATGGATTCTCAAGATAAGCTGTTTGTTTGCATAGGCACCTTTAGATACCATCGCCAACTATCAGCTGTCTGCTGGATCAAGTTGCCGCCAAAATCTCCCAAGAACTGCACAATGTGACGCATCAACATATTGTGAAGCAGTATACTATGAAGGAGTGGGGAAATTACAATAAACCGAATAAAAATACTTAAGACTTGGCCTAAAGGTCTAGATACCAGGCCATAAACTCCAAAAAAAAAAAAAAATATTGAATGATTAAAAAAAATGTTTCCTTTGGAACGTTTTTTAAAAATTCATTTTATAGAAAGAAAATTTAATAATGTTTAGACTTTGTTATAAATGCGGTAAGTATAAATTTAACAAAAATTCTTTTCTTCATGCTCGTATGCATTTTATATATTTAATTAAACGTATTATGTTAAATTGCTCTATACAGGGTTATTTTGCAATAACCGGCTAAATTTGCAGAGAAGGTTCAGAATAAGTAATATAAGCGAATGGTGAAAAAAAATTAATTAAAGAAATCTCAAACATTGTGTCCTTTTTATCTTTTAAATTCCAAATGCGTGGTAATGGATTATTTTAACTGATTTTACTGCACATGCACACATTTGTAAGGGTCGCTCGGTAAGCAAAAATGTTGTTGCCCATAAATCACATTCAATTTAGGGATAATTTCAAATAAAAGTAGATGCCGTATTTACTTCTACTTTCAAAACTGCATTAACGGCACATCTTTATTTATATATTTGAACTTAAGTTTAAAATTTGGCTACTCTTTGAAAAATAACCCTGTATGTTCATTTTGTCACTAAATACCAGTAATAATGATGTCATTATGAAATTAATATACAAGAAATACATCACAGTAGATGGTGCATCGTAAACATATATTTAAAAATCATAAATATATATTTTAAACAATGCTATTCTCCTACATTTATATTATAATATTTACATCCGCCAATTCATTCATATTTAATATAACATTTTCTTTCCTTTTATAACTATACACTACATTATATTACGGACTACATACCTCTCCTTACTCTTTACCTATGTATTTTACATTTTGTTTTCAAAAATAAGTACATAAATTATACCTGATTTAAGTCACCAATGTTTGGGAAAACATTTGTTATTACATTTAACGAATATTCGGTATACAATTGGCTCTAACAGGTCCTGCTATTAGATCCGAGTAGGAAAGGCCGTGCGAGAGGCAATCGCCGGTACACTGCGACCTCCCGACCCTCAGATACCTCTGTGTCGGCCGCACTTAAGTTTAAAATTTGGCTACTCTTTGAAAAATAACCCTGTATGTTCATTTTGTCACTAAATACCAGTAATAATGATGTCATTATGAAATTAATATACAAGAAATACATCACAGTAGATGGTGCATCGTAAACATATATTTAAAAATCATAAATATATATTTTAAACAATGCTATTCTCCTACATTTATATTATAATATTTACATCCGCCAATTCATTCATATTTAATATAACATTTTCTTTCCTTTTATAACTATACACTACATTATATTACGGACTACATACCTCTCCTTACTCTTTACCTATGTATTTTACATTTTGTTTTCAAAAATAAGTACATAAATTATACCTGATTTAAGTCACCAATGTTTGGGAAAACATTTGTTATTACATTTAACGAATATTCGGTATACAATTGGCTCTAACAGGTCCTGCTATTAGATCCGAGTAGGAAAGGCCGTGCGAGAGGCAATCGCCGGTACACTGCGACCTCCCGACCCTCAGATACCTCTGTGTCGGCCGCACCAAGTGAAGACCCCTTACCAGTACGTCCATCCGGTGTTACCATGCAGCGATATCGACTTATGTAGTCTCAATTTAGTTTACATGTGCCATAATTATTTGTTGTTATTGTTTTGCTACTGTATTTAATAAAAAATATTAACTGGTCCAAAATTCATTATGTAATAGGTACAATATTTATTGTGTATATCTAAAATTTTTGCTTTTTTGCATAATAGTGGTGACGGTTGTAAGATATATCTTATGATATTTTTTTCTATGGTATACGCTGTGTGGTAAAAATCGGTGGTAAAAAGATGTATTTGAGGCTTTAAATGTCTGCAGGGTGTTGGCTGCTAACAGATGTTGCTTCATAAGTACAAACAATTGTAAAACTTTAATGTCTAAATGTATTATTTTGTAAGCTTGCGCTGTGGTACTGCTGTTGTAAGAGGTTGTTTTTCCTACTTAATGTGAAGTGTTATATTATATCCATTTATGTTATAAATATATAAGTATTTTATATTAAATATTGTGACTGAATCGCATTATTTGTACCCAAGACTAAGAACTCATGGAGCAATATTAGGCGACGCCCGCAGCGGTAGCGGGACCGCGACACGCGTAAAATAAATTTAGAATAAATTAGCAAATTTTAAACGTGATATCTGCGGTTGCGGTGGGGTGTGATTGTTTGTGGCTACCTATCTACCAGTGGACGAGTAGTGGTATCGCGGAGGCTGTGGTCGCCCGCGAGGTCTACGGTCTCAAACCGTGGGAGACGCGGGCGCATGGCAGCGTGGTTTTGTCTGACAGTCCATCGCAAATAACTCACATTGCGTCCACCTGACTTGCAATCATCTACCGCCAAATTTGCTGGCGTTACCACCACGATTCTACCTAAAAATACCGTCTCAAGGATTGAAGTAAAAATGCAGTATTTCTACCGCTGCGGTCGCAGGTAAATATCGTTTCGTGAGTTATTAGCATAAATGTGTTTGAAATTTAAATTTTTCGCACAATATCTAATGAAGACGTACATAATAATTACAAATAATGTGATTCAAAATTTTAAAACAGTAGATCCACGAGTGTTGTTAATGCATTTTCTGAAGGATGTCGTTTTGCAGTATGTAAGAAAATATATATATTAATATGTACATTTATTACATATGCGAATACTACTTACTATTTCAACGTAATGCCAACACACTGCACACATTATTACATTTGGCAGATTATACAGAACGTCTTGAAGAGGCCAATAAATTGGTTATAAAATAAAATTTAGAGATGGCCAGACCCACATTGCTGAAATTTCACAAATCTTTTTAACATAACATCGACATCCGTTAATATTAAACACATTACCAAAGAAATCAGATGCTGAGTTCGACTAAAATTTTAAAATCTATGCAGAATTGGCCCCCACGAATGCTTAGTTTTTAAATTCTAAAACTATGATGTCTATTCAACGCACACACTAATGGGTCTACGTGAACAAAACAGTACTTGTTTTTATAAATTGGCATGCTTTATGCACACTTTTATATATCTCACCCACAACACTTCAGCTACTTGCCCCACTGTTACATTTTTACACTTCATGATTGTTCTTGTTTCCTATTTTGTTTTCTGATTCACGTTGATGTTTTGTTTCAAAATATGCCAGGTAATATGTTACCTGGCTCTATTGCTTTGATGTTAATGCTTCAGCATTTCGAAGAGTAAGCAATTATTGTGACGTAGATAAATATCTAATCAATACTGTACTTGATAATTCTTCTTACAAAAGCGATAATATTTTTAAAAAGTGTGGGTATAATGTATATTAAATAGAAATAAACATTTTAATTTAATATAAATCATATTAAATTAATCTGTTTATTTCTATTATTCTTTCTTTTGTTTCTCGGCACATTCCAGTCTGTGATTACTTTAGCTGTTCCTTCTGTTGCCAGTGTAAGGTCGATTATTGAGCTACAACATTGGTTTATGGAGATTAGTTCGGAATCAGTGCTTAGAATAGTTAGGTTAGTGCTAAAAAGATATTCAACTAACACCTTACCTCGTTCGTTATAGGGTTTGGGTATGGCTATCTATCGAAGTAGTATTTAAAAGTTTTAAAAATATTTTACAGTATATAAAAATATCATTTGGTTATAATATCACCATTTTCTTTGCAAAACAAATAAATGAATTTGATAAAAGTTATTTTTTGTAATTTTACAGCAAGCCTGCGGTAAATACATTCCTGCGGGCAGTACAGTACAAGGCAATCAGACCGGAGTCGCAATGGATGGGACTTATCTCGTAGAAGCATCTTTCTAGGACCCGTCCACTAGCGCCCACGTGGAGAGCTATGTGTGAGAACTGTCGATGATTCAGACACAAATAGTGGAGACGCATACAAATTTCGTTTCGGACATGAAATATTACTTTCCAATACAACATATGGATGCCGAAATCGAAACTATAGTGGAAAAAGACTTTGCCCGATGGGTTTATTATTTGATGACAATTACTAGGTTATGAGTATATTAACGGTCTTGTAAATCTAACACAATACTGCCTAATAATATTGAAATATCATATTTGTATTGAGATTTTGGACCCGTTTCGAATGGAGACACAAATTATTCTTTATTCCCGATTGAATATTTAAAAGGTTAATCAATCTATGATTTGTGTCTTGATTGGAATGCAATGGTGGTTGGCGTCCTCTTCATGTACTATTTAATTCATATAGTCATAACAAATACAGTATTAAATAAAAAAATTAAATTAATATCTATGGAAGATCGTATAGAAATTTGCTTTAGCAACGAGTCTTTGAAATCAAAATCATCTAAATTCTTTAAAGATTTGAAAAGCGTTAGAAAAAAGACAAATGTTTTCAAATTTATCTGTAGTCAATAGTTCGTGTCATATCAATATTAGGTCAGATAGTATCAGCTATCTAAGTCTCTGCGTATTCCTCAACTATTATCCTTTCCAAGTTTCCCGGTCCAGATCCGATTCCCTCCCCATCCACTAGGTTACTAGTGCCTTCGTGATAAATTCAAAATAAATATCCATATTATTGAAATGTTACTCTGTGTTAGTGAAGTTTAGGAATTAGATAATTGTCTATTAAATTTTCGATTGTGGCGGTGTTGACACTTAGAATGGACTTTGCATGATGGTTGACAATAAGTGTTTGTATGGAGTTATTCGTAAGTTATTTACGATGTCTCTCTTACAGGTAACCATAGCCAAACACTTAGGCGGAGTAGATTAATTTGTTAAATCGTGATATAGTAATGTCAAAGTTATCACATTGATACCAATGGTGCATGTTGTTTGCATTTGATCGTATCTATTTGTCCACTGATGTCATTGGTAAAAATTTGCCAATGTTTATTATCTATAAAGCAAGGGACAAAGTCTTAGGAATGATACGATAGAAGTAACCTTAACAGGGAATCTCTATCATGGATGTCTTATGAACTCGATAGTTTGAAACGTTATGAGTAGATAGAAGAATTTATGTGGCGAACTAGATATTACATCTATAATATAATGTTAGTATTTTAGTGATAAGTGAATTGTCATGTCACATGTGTTAGATACATGTGATATGTAAGTATTTAACGCATCGGATGCGTGTTTTAGGTACGCGTAGTTTAAGTTTATTTTGTAATTATTTCTAAAACCGAATTCGATGTTAATAAACTCTTCCATAATTATGCCATTAATTCCTATTTATCTTGGAAATAAATAATAATAATTACGGGATTTGGTAAATGTATGCAATTTATAAATTTAAGGTTCAAGTACTATATTAAATTCAAACACTCAAGGCAGTTTATGTCATAAAACCTAGGAACGACTATTGAAGTAATACCACGTACTAGAAGAGACGCCGAAACTTGGTTGTTTGCAACATACTTTAGGGCCCACTTACTTAGTCTGTGCAATAAAAATGTACTCTGTGGGTCTTTCCACGCGCTCCGCATTGTCGCAAAGATTTTGTTCGCGGTATCTGTTTCTAGTACGTATTACTTGAATGGGAACAACACTGATAATATTGCGCTCTCGTTCGCACTAACAGAAGGGCATAGTGATGCGCCGTGTTCCTAACGAAGGTATACTCAGTGTTCTTTGGTAATATTTTCTATTATTAAATAGACACTAAACGGGCTCGAACATCGATAGATAGAGTGTAGTGTATACGTAAAGTGTAATGTTTTATGACTACGACTGCCACCAGAGTTGGTGCTTAATATAGTAAAAAATAAATGTCTTTAAGCTTTTTTCTCTTTTATATTTACAATGTTTCAATTAAAATTATGCAAAATTGAAATTGTTTGTAAATGTTTCCTGTGATTCTATGGCTGTAGTCAAATGTTATGTTTTATTGTATAGTTTAATTTCTCAATTTACGAACGTTATTTATTGAGAATATAATTTATCAAATTATTGTTTATTGAAGTACTTAGATTAAGAGGAAACCGTTACTTTAACTTTTTTTTTGTAATTATCTCTAGTCAATCACCTGCGTTGTTATAATAAATATAAGCTAGTCATTTTTCTCTTATGATTCAAATATCTTGAGATTTATGTTTTATTACTTTATATTTTCTATTATGTTCGGTATGCGTTTCAATACCTTTTTTTTTTCGTAACTTAAGATAATAACTTACCATAACTTCATCATAATCGGATGAATGGTATGGGAACGCATACGGGACAAAGAAATAAATGCAAAATTTTTATATATAAATTATTACACTACGTTCATTTTTTTTTTCAACAAAAAAAAACTTCTTTAAATTCTCATAAAATAATTTTCATAAAGAGTCATATAAATTCTCTATTATGAATTATTCTTTGTTATTATTTCTTTACCTACTACAAACTACTTGATAATATTTCGTCTGCTGGGATACAGCAAGTACTGGAGGCTATTGCATGCCTAGTGAGTTGTTACTGATGGGGTCCCAACAGTGTAAAGGTTTCTGTATGTTTGTTTTAGATTTATCAAGATCTCTTGACCTTTATATGACAAAATTATCTATCAAATAAGATGTCACTTGAGTTTCCTTAAGAGCTTTCTTTATAATCATTAACTCTGATCGATATCTGCTTATTTAACTTTTCGTTGTCACAGACTGTTATTTAATAAAACAATATTAAAAGTAAAGATGAATTTTAGTACTATCGCTGTGGCCAGTTATTTGGTAGTGCCACTTAGGTCCGATTTTTCAATCATCACACAAAAGTTATTGTCATAGGATAAAATACTTTTATATATTTTACTTTTATATTCAGTCAAATTTCATATATATCTTAAAAGATTTAAATTATAAATTTATCTGATGGATAACTTGATTTGTGATTGAAAAATCAACCCTGAATTAAATTAAAAGAAACATTTATTTTAAAACGTGTTCTAAATAGATAATATGAAATTAATACATATAATAATGCAGTTAAATATATAGTAGGAACGTATTGTGTGAGCGGAATATCGTCGGACCAAATTGAAGATGATTAATCTCGTGTGTGTTAGAAGAAAAATTTCAAGTGATTGTTGGGAGACGTGTTAGTTAGGGTTCCGCTGTGACTATAATTTCTAAATAAAGTGAAAAAATTAATGAAATTTAATGAGTAATACTAGCTAGCAAGTTCTAATAGATAGTACTATTGCAAGCACTATTATGAAAATGCTTACTTACATTATTTAAAAATTTAAAGTTTGGGGACATTGACAGGCTATTTTAAAGCGTTTGCCTCAAAAATAAGGTTTAAAAGTGATTTGTGAAACTTCACAATTATAAAAAATACGGTTCTGTAGACCGAATTTCGGTCATGGCAGCCAGTCTCAATGGAGACAAGCCAACCGTGTAGGACAGGATTATAGTGTACGGGTAAGTGCGCAGGCACAGGTGCTCTCTCTGTTCCTCTAAAAGTCCGATGAGACGGCAATCCAACACGACCGGCGAGAATTCAGGCGCAGGACCAATTGTTTCCCCAGTTTTCCGAAGCACAGGTGTGAAACACTTCCAACTTAATGACTGCGAGTAGTGACTAAAAATTTCTTAAGAGAAAATCTCTAAACATGTATTTAAACCCCACTCTTTTTGGAAGAGTTTTGCATGATGTTTCACAAGGGAAATGCCTTAATGTATATTTAAACATATATATAATAAGGCACAATTTATAAATGATATTCCGAAATTAAGATTTGCATTAAAAAAGGAATGAAAGTTTATTCGTTAAATTTACGTTAAATTTGTATTCAAATGGTTAATTCTTTGGAACTCTAAATAAGAAAAGAGAAAATAATGTAACAAAATATGTCTATTGTCTAAATTATACGACGTCCTTGACAGTGGAACCCTAAAAAGATGGAATGTATTTGAGTGATGAATATTACCTGTCTAATTTAACGTGATATTTGTAAATATTGTTAAATCATGATTTGAACATAATTAAGTTTTTAAATGTTGTATATAACATACATAGGTACTTCACTGAACTAACATACATATTTATTTTGACTTCCAAACTCAAAAAACAATTATAATGGCTTCTTTAACTTGAAAATTACACTTTAAATTTATGCTTCTACGGGCTTTTTTATAAAAATCCTTAAAATTGATTTATTATATGTCAAATCTATAAGTAAAACTTGCTGCCAATCATGCAGTGGTGTGTAGCATGGATTGCTTCCGTCAGAGCTGCTAGTCAAAAATGCCGCTCCTTTTATGTCGTCCGCAGATTGTATGATTCGTCGATATGTCGTCATAGCAATGGGCAGATCTACATCATATATTAATGTAATATATATCTTTGGGCATATAGGGTAAGGAAATGACCCCTATATGTATAAAGGTACATAATATTACATTTATATGTCTCTCAGGTAAGAGAGGAGGCCTGTGCCCAGAAGTTTGACGTATATATGCTGTAACTTTAGCCTAATTATTTATACACTACACACAATGAACAGCCTAGCCGCACCTTAACAATGAGGGCATCCACGACCTTTACAGCCACCAGGGCGGCGCCACTTAAAAGTGAGGTATAATATTTGACAGACTTCATAGCGGGGAAATTAATTTGTTCGGAAAATGTAAAGTTTAATGTTTCTTTCTGTACTATTAGCTATATTTTGTATTAATAAGATTAAAAATAAATAAACCAAACTACAGATATTCATAAAAGTAGAAATATTTAAAAAAAGGTTAAAAATGTGCAAAAAATTAAAGAGCAAACCACTGAGGCGTTGTTTTGTGTATTAATATAATACTCTAGAAACTGATAAACTTTTATTAAAAACTAAC